CTACTCTTCATTACTTCTTTTATTGGACTGTTTACAAAAATAACGATTTAGCTGAAAGGGTTAGAAAAAATGAGCTAAATAAACGATACGTTTTTAGAATGTTTTCTTACGTTATTTGAGAATTAGCTGCTGGCCGTCCAGTAGTATGCTCCTTTGTGTACCCTATTTCCATTATTTAATTTTAACATATCGTTTTCAAAGCAGCTCTTAAACATACTGAATGTTTCTATATTATGCAAAATTTGTTAAGATATCTCTCCAACTTTACTTGTTTTTTCATTTATTAGAGGCAAAGATTTCCAGCATTTGTTCAATTCGAGGACATCCTTCCCTCCAAGGGTACTAAGTGTTGCTTATTCCATGAAAAATTATGGGGAACAATGCTGCTTAGTATTGCTGGTCCATACAAATTATGTTGCAAACGGTAAAATACGTATGGATGGAATAAAGACTTATTGATGCTAGTGAAAATTCCCATATTGCGAGAGAGCAATATCCCTTCAAATTGAGAGAAATTCCCTACGGAAAAGAGAGAAAATCCTCGAGGGACATTTGAAAACATTCATATTTGAATTTGGATACCCTATATCAGGTCTCGGCTCGGCCCTATCCAAAGGGTATAGGACAAAGCGCTGCCGCTGACGTACACGCGTATTACAGTGATTCCAACACCAAAATAGTGATATGTTCCGTTTTGCTTGCGTCTGCACACAAACGCAAAAACGGATCGTTAATTGTATGGCTGCCGAGCCCTGCCCTATATTATTTAATATACTCTAAAAATGTACTATACTCGGCCGATTAAATGAAATATACCACTATATACCTGAAAAGCATATAATATACCTTAAACGGTCATCCTGTCAAACAACTGAGAGTTGCCAGATCCATATATCAGTATTTTTCAGGCTTTAGCAATTTCCAAGCTAGTTCTGGCTATTTTTGATGAAAATATCTGGCCCCTAGCACTAACCAAATAGTATAGTTTATTATATTATTATATATTATATTTTATATTATATATATTATATTATATATTATACTATTTGGTTAGTGCCCCTGGTGCTCTATATTTTTCAAACTGGGTGCAAAACATGCAAAAAAAAAAGCTCTACATGTTTTGATAAGAGCTATTTTTCTTTTGAGCAGCTGGCAGCAGTGGTATTTTGTATTGCGCAAACTATGCACAGCAGTGGCAATAACTAGGCCATGTATTTTCATTTTAATTGCATGCGTTGAATGCAAAATCGAGTTAATCGGATGAGTGCTTTATATTCACATCTCTGTTTGTCTGTGCTCCTACTCACATATGTTTGTGTTATAATTAACAGCTATATGCAGCTCTGGCTGATACATTTAAATATTACAGCGCTGCCAGATTGGTGAATGACATCAGCTGTGGGGAAGGGGAAATTCCACCCTGTCAGGGAAATCTCACCTGCCAGACCAGTGCTGCCAACTCTTCGGGCTATAAAAGAAACTAGCACTTTGAAAAAAGCCAGACAGAAAAAATGGTCAAACAATTCAAAATATGGCGGGGCTGTCATTGTGAATTGTGGTCAATTTTTATACCCGGTACTCGAGGAATAAATAGGGTATATTGTATTTGTGCGGAAAAAGTGTAACATACAGAAGGAAACGTTTCCGACCCCACAAAGTTTATATATTTTTGATCAGCATCAATAGCCGAGTCGATTTATCCATGTCTGTCAGAGACAACAATTTTACACTAGGCTCGATTCAGACAGGTATTTAAAGTGTGTTTGTGAGTTTCAAATGAAAAAGTTGACCTCATAATATGTTTTCCACAAAGATCTTAATATTCCAACCATTAAAGAAGAAATAAAGAAAACTAGTAAGAAATACATCGACAGATTCCACAACCATGAACATAATTTAGCCGTAAGTCTATTAGACAATAGCTTAACAGTAAGAAGACCGAAAAGATACCACATTCTCGATCTCCCCGATAGATAAATCCAACAAACTGAAAATATGTTATATATAATATCAGGGCTCATTGGAAAACTGATATTTCTGTTAATTTAATATTAATTATACAATTTACTTATTGTTTAAACAAACAGATTGTAAATATAAAGAGAGAGAGAGAAACAAAAAAAAATATGTTTAATGGTTCGTTTTTTAACAAGTCTATATTTGTGACAAAAATTTGTCTTTGAAGAGGCTTACAAAATGTCTGACAGCTCCCGGAGGTATTAAAATGAAATGGATATAGGGCATTCATTTTTGATCGTATGTACACATGTACATACATACATATATCACATTTTCCAGCGCTTCTGTGCGTCTTCACAGATATTTACATTTTTTACGGGTTTAAATTCTGGGTCGTTTGCAAGATGGAACGTAGTGACCAAATAATTAGCAAAAGAGGATGCCAATTTGATTAGCTTTTAAACGGAACGATTTGAAGACCCTTTGAAGACATTTTTTCACAGTTTTGTGAAATTTATCACGGAAAACTTGAAACAAATCGAATGATTTGCATTGGCTCAATTCGTGTACACTCATAAAAATATAATAAACTTGAGACATTTGCACTTAATCTGCAATGACGTGCAATTTTTTTGTGCTCAGCATTTCTACAACTCAAAGAAAAGAAGCTGATTGCAGTATATGTACAAGGAAGTCAATGTAAAAGCCCGTTTATTTTGAATTTGTTAATATCCTGGCATGGCTTTTTATACCCGGTACTCGCAGAGAAAATAGGGTAATAACTGTTGTATGTAACGCACAGAAGGAAACGTTTCCGATCAATAGCAGAGTCGATAGAGACATGTCTGTCTGTCCGTCCGTCTGTCCGTCCGTCCGTCTTGTTGAGCGCCTGGATCTCAGAGACCATAAAAGCTAGAGCCACCAAATTTTGCATCCAGACTTCTGTATACTCACACTGTTACAAGTGTATTTCAAACATGAGCCCCGCCCCCGCAAAAAGGCGAAAAGCTCCCAAATCTATAATTTTGAAGATAAAAGATCTATCAGGACACCAAATTGGGATCCGAATGGATCATTATTATGGCCACAATGAAGAAATTAATTCGCAGTGGCTATACCCACCACCCATTTGTGCACAAATACAATATACCCTTTACTCCGAGTACCGGGTATCAAAATAGGTACGCGGTGAGTCTATGCAGATTTTAGTGCCATGCTTGGGCTTCAAATTTGAAGTCAGTTGTCCAAATCTCGATTTGCCGATGGGAGTCGGAGGAAAATGTGCAAGTGTTAATGTGTGTGTGTGTACATGTGCAAGGCAGCCGCCTTGCCAGCAATAATGTTTCCATGTCCCGTTCCGTCATAACTCCATGCCTGTTTTACACCGTGACCCTGAATACTCTAATGGAAAATATTTGCAACGCACGGTCAATTGCCGTAATTCATTATTTGTATACATATTTAGATGTTTATATCCGTTACCCCTTTCATCCTAAATTATATAAAGCATATAAAGGTCACACAAAATAAATTATTTTGATATTGAGGGGCAAGCTTCTTCATAAAAACTTGAGGGTTTTCATTTTGAAGGGTATGTGAGCTCAGAACAAAAAATAAATGCAAAAGGTTTCAAGCGCTAACAATTAAAGCGCACATGAAGTCGAGAACATAACCGACGACGAGAACAGAAATTGGAAAGATGTATGTACATATATATACATATGTGTTTACATATGCTTATGTACATATATATGATTTTATATTTATCTGAAAAGATTTGTCTGTAAAAGATGGATTCGGTAACAATGTTGATAAGACGGCAGCAACGAAGTCGAGAAGCGACGGCGTTTCCACAATATGCATACAATTTTGAATAAAGCAGTCTAAAATCTGCATTTAAAACTTAAAACTTTCAAATACAAAAACAACTTTTATTGGTATCTTTATGTTTTCCAACCCCCAAAGGTCCGGCCACCAATCCCCACCCCTCATTCTGCACATGTTGCGGTAGGTCACTTTCATACGCCAAGCCCCGAAAACAAAATCAAATCATCAAAACGAATTTTCGTTCCATCGCAGTTCAAAAAATCATCGCACCAACACATACATTACTTGCAGTGTCCTTGTGAATCAAGACAAAACCGGTTAGGAGCGCTAAAAAATCATTGGCTACACGCACTTATACAAATGTAGCTGGGACTTCTAGCTGCGTGCTCTACACGCATTAATACACATGTAGCTGGGACTTCTAGCTGCGTGTTTTACACGCACTAATACTTTTAGCTGGGACTTTGGCAGAGGCCTGGGACTTCGAGACGTACATTGAGCGGTGACGTTTCGCTTCTATGAAGCTGAGAGTCTACTATACTATTTGGTTAGTAGTCGTGCCAAGGGGCGATGTCGACAATCTGGGCTAGAAGGAATTGGAAGGGTGCTACTCTGTCATATTTCAAACTGCGGAATATGCAAGGGTATCGTTTCATCGGTTTCAATAAATGAACACATATTAATATGATTTATAATACTCAAATGTATAGACAACGACCGTCCTGGTTTCTTTCCTGCAGATATGGGTTTAATCAAAGTTGTCGTCGCTTATGGATCACTGAATGGATCACTTTGCATTCATTGTTTTATTAACTTTTTATTCAATCTTCACACATTTTCAAAAAGGTAAACAAAACAACACAGTTGCCTGAGAAGTGTAACCGTACGGAATGCGGTTTTCACCTCTGGTCACACTCTGCTGCTAGCAAAATATATTGCACATTTTGCTAGCAAGTTATATTTTTGATCTGAGTACTAGGCTTTTCCAAGAAAAGGAAGTCGTGAAATCCAGACAATCTTGTGGAGAATTGATTGCTAAATCAGATCAAATTATAGTTTCAGCGCGGAGACTCCTAACTAGCTAGTAATAACAAATATAACATCAAAATCGATGAAAATGATTTGAGACTACGGTATATTTACGAAATATTTTGAAGATGCAATGGTATATTTTGGTATATTTACGAGGCCCTGTCGGTATATTTTATCGATAGATCTCCAGCGTCGGATGGAAGTATCTTTACCACTGCTGTCTTGATAATATTTTGTTATAAAAACCACATACAAGGAAGTGCAACTCGAACTCTGAACCAACATACGGGAAACACAGTGTAAGTTTAAACACAAAAGTGTTTCTGCCTCCCAAATCGCTATAATTGCTGCTGAGTTCGTGTGAAAACGCCATATTTTGTCATATTCTACCTACTTTCCACTCTCTTTCTTTGGATTCTGCCATCGTCGCTGATTCCATTATATCAACAGAACGTATAGGCGCACAGGTGCGGGTAAGTTTTACGCTGATAAGTTTTAACTCATTGAACTTTGCATTTATCATTCGTTTCATTTCTACCTCTCCTGCAGCGACTTACCGAAACTATTGCCGCCATCTCGCTTGCAACGTAATTGCGATGCCGCTGCAAACCACCCATCCACACACGCACACACATCGCTTTGTAAGAGATTTATTTACCCGATTAAAACGTTGGTTTATTTTCTTACATTTATTCAGGCATTCTCTTGATGCCTCTGCCGGGCTATCGCCACAAACACCGTATTGCGCGCTGTACTGAAGATTCTGCGCTGGATCCATTGACTTAGCAGGCACTTTCCTAACCGCACAACTATCTCCAACCACTCTTTTCCGATCCACCAGTGAAAATCCTAGGACCCTTAGTATCGTTGAGCAAACTTTTTTTACGTACTTAAAGCTTTTGCGGCTTTTCAGCAAGTTGCTCTGTAAGTACGGGCGGTGCGACTTGCTGCTGTTTACTTCATGCACTATATTATTATTGCCTACTATGGAAACAAACTTCCAAAAGAGCATTATCAAATGCATTATTGCGTCCTGCAATAGTCCAAATGATTCCCCTATTAGATTATTTCAATTTCCTTCGGATCAATTTACGTATGACCAATGGATTGAGTCTTGTGATTTGGAAAGAAACATGGTCAAAAGTACTGCAAGAGTTTGCGAACGACATTTTGATGCCGATTGTTTCGGAAAGGTTGGATTAAAGCCCGGATCAGTTCCAACATTAAACCTTTCCCTGCTGACACCATTGAATGCAGATATTTTTGTAAAAAACACCAATGATCACCTACCCTCCTTAACATGGCAAACGTCTTCATCAATGTCAACCGTGAACATGAACCAAAGCTGCTTAGCTACAGACAGTCCAACATCAACATCGAGAACATTCTCAGACCATCCAGTTGACAAGAGACCAATAGAAAATGAAATAGCCGGTGTGGACAATAATCATAAAATATCGAAAGAATTAGTGCAAGAGTCCGAAACAGAAAGTGGTAGATCTATTGATTTCGTTTTTTGTAAGCTACTGACCGAAACGGAAACAATGAAAAAGTTGTCTGCTACAAAAAAAGACCACCGAATTGCCGGAGCCAAATGCATTATTGGGTCCTGCGGACGTGGATATAGAAATAGTTCGAAAGAATCCCCTGTTACATTATTCAGATTTCCGACGGATCCAGTGTTATTTGACAAATGGATTGAGTCTTGTCAATTGGATAGAAACATGATCAGAAAAACTTCACGAGTTTGCGCACGGCATTTTGAGCCCAGATGTATTGGAAATCTTCGATTAAAGCCCGGAACGGTTCCAACATTAATCCATTCCATTCTGAAACCATTGGATGCTTGTATTTCTGGTAAAAACAACAATGATGATGACCTACCGCCCTTACTATGGAAAACATCGCCATTAAGGTCCACCTTGAACATGAACCCAAGCTGCTTAGTTACAGACAGTCCTAGATCATCGGTGACATCGACAAACCCATTCTCAGAAAATAATGTAGAAAACAAACCAATAGAAAATCGGATGACATCAAAGGGAATCAAAGTGGCCGATGAGGACAATAATAATGAACGAATAATATCGATCGATTTTGAGCAAGAGGCCCAAACAGAAACAGCTGATGATGATCCATTACAAATTAATAAATGTGATGACAATGTGTTGTCAGGGAATAATGTAGACAAAAATGGAACAGAAAACCGAATGAAAATAACTTTAGTCAAACTTGCCGATTTACAGTATAAAAAATCAAACGATCTAGAGAAAGAGTCCGAAACAGACACGTCTGAAGGAAATGGATTGAATAATAATAATAATGAATCGAATGATAAAGAAATCAGCGAAGATGGAAAAAATATAGATGCGCATGCCAGCCGAAAAGACATGCGGAGATCCGGTCTCAAGTGCCTTATATCTTCTTGTGGTTGTGGATATAGAAATACTTCGAAAGAATCCTCTATTCGATTATTCAGTTTTCCAAAGAATAAATTCTTCTTCGATAAATGGGCTGAGGTTTGTAATATTGACAAAAATGTATATAAACCTAAAGCACGGGTTTGCGAGCGGCATTTTGAGGCCAAGTTTTTTGGAAAGCGTAAATTAAAAGCTAATGCAATACCAACATTAAACATTAACCCATCGAACTCTGGCACTTGTGATGAGAATTTATTTTCAGGAAATTCAGCTACCAATAAACAAACAGAAAATAGTTTGAACGCAAAAAGAGTAAAACAAGCCCATGTGGATAATAATAAGGAAATATCGAACGAATTAGAGAAAGATTCCGACACAGATACCTCTGATGTAGATCCATTTGAATGTAGTGAATCGAATGATATTGAAATTTGCGAAGCTGAAGACAAAAACGAGTCGTCTGCTAATCATGAACACAAGCAAAAATCCAATGGAAAATGCATTATAGCCTCCTGCCGTTTTGGAAATATAGAGAGCTCGACCGATTTTCCTGTCAGGTTATTCTCTTTTCCATCGTATCTATTATTCTTCAATAAGTGGGTTGAGGCGTGTAATTTGGATAGAATGATTGTGAAAAGAACTTCACTAATTTGCGAACGTCATTTTGAGGCCCAGTGGTTAGGGAAGCATGGATTGAACAATGAAGCAATTCCAACATTGAACTTGTCTGATCATTCCGTATTGACTCCATTGAATGCAAGAACTTGTGATGAGAATTCATTTTTAAGACATTCGTTAGATAAAAAATCAATAGAAAACAGTTTGAAATCAAATAATCATAAAAATAATGATAATAATACAAAACCTGCAGTAACGCCCGATAAAGATACATTAGAAAATACTGAATATATTGACATAGAACGATGTAGTAATTGCATAGAAAAAGAGGAACAATATAACAAAGGGAAGATACGATATAATAACTTAAGAAAGGTTATAGCTCGCGCCAAACGTCAACCCGTACGCAAACCCAATTTTCTTCACTTAATAGCAAATATGTCTCATGTGTCTCCGGAGGCAAAAGCCATATGTACAATGCTTTTAAAAAGGTCAAATAAATTTACCCCCACTCAGAAAGTAATTGCGCAAAATATAAGGTTTTACTCGTCAAGTACATATAAATATCTCCGAAATGTTTTACATTTAAATATGCCATCAGAACGCTGTTTAGATCGATGGGCTGTGCGTTTCGGATCAGGTTTTTCTCCTGATTTACGCGACACTCATTCCTGCAAAAAGGTTCCATAACAAACTAAGCCCCATGCCTTGTTCTCCTGAAATCTCCTTATCCCTGACTTTCTACGGATTTCATAGGGAACAATTATAAATGACCTACCAGAGGTAGTTATTAAATAATTTAAAACCAACCGAAAATAAGCGAAAAACATTACGGCAGTAAGATTATTAGTAAGATTTCGTAAGTTTTCTTTAAATTTACTATAACCTATTCACGAAGGGTTTTTTATTTTCATATTTTAGCACGTTTTTAATTGATTTTCCTGTGTTTTAAATCGACCGTTAATAATAATAATAAAAGAATAAATAAAAAAGCAGGTTAAACCAAAAAAAAAAGTTTATTTTTCACTTCTAGTTACTAGACCTGCTAGTCCTTTCCTCAGATTTGAATTATGTTGAGCAAGTCAAGTCAATGGACTGGACCTCAAAACGACTCGAAGAGTAAATATTGTATTTGTGCGCGAAAGTAGATGTATGTAACGCACAGAAGGAGAGGATTCCGACCCCATTAACATTTATTTATATTCTTGATCCATGTCTGTCTGTCACGTCTGCCATGACAGCCATGTCTTTCTGTCCGTCCGTCTTCTTGAGCGCCTGGATCTCAGGGGGGGGGGGGGGGGGGG